ACCCAGCCAGCACATGTGCACAAAGGCTTCAGTTCTTTAATGTGTTACATAGTGAGAGAACGGAATATTCATGACATCACATAACATGAATTAGGCATTATCCCAGAGAGATGTAAACAGTGACGACAGGCGGTAAAAACATACAACTAGTTGCAAGATTTCTGCTCTCTAGTTGTTGTTGACTTTGGGGACCATCAACCAACCATGTCCCCTATCTACAACAGTGCTGTATTAGTGTGGCAAAACAGGCGATTATAGAAAATAAGCATAAGTTATCAATATCAAGGGAGAGTAAAAAACTTCAATTGGAAAAGATATATGTAAATAACCACCTTTACTAGACAGACCGATGGCTCTGCTGAAATAAAATGCGAATGGTTATCCCTGCCTTATGATGCAACCAAAAGTGATCCAAAAGTTAAGCCCATTTTACACATACATGCACCTCCGCTCTGCCACATTCAAAGACAGAGGTTGTATAAGACAGCTTTTGATTCAACACTGATAACATGAAAATGTTAGGGTTCTGAGACTGAAACACACGGAGACAAACAAAATATGGACATCATCAAGCACCTTGAAAAGTATGATTCATCAAATCGTCATGTTGGCCATTTGAGGAAGAGGGCACTGTGAGGCTGAGGCGCTATGCTCCAGAGAATTTATTACAAGATCAAGCTTCGTCTTCCAGAGCTAGTCAAATGTGTGGGCCATGGGTTGAGATGGGTTTCATTTAGTTTTCTCACCCAGCATTAGAGAGTTGACTGAAAACACCATTACACCTGTCGCTTGTATCAATTCAATCTCAAATCAGCTCTCGCCCAGTACAAACCTCACCAGCCCTTATTCACCACTCTGGGGATTCCTCGGCACAAAATGAGATTCATCATCATTTCTGTAGCAGGGTATAAATAACAGAGACAAACTGTAGCTGGCATAAATTCTTCAAACTGCTGTTCTTTTCTTAAAAAAATTATACCATTCTGTTACATTTCACTACATATATCCATCTCAAATGAACAATCACACAACCCTTCTCTTTGGCTTTGTAGACGTTTAGAGGACTTGGACTTGTGTGTTTTGGGAAAACAACCAAGACAAAGGGTATGCCTGTGGTTGAATTAGAAGCTTTCCCTCAATCCTTTTGGCCCTTCCTTTTCGTGCCTTTAACATAAACAGGTTTTTTAGAGAGGAGAAAAAGAACCAAGGACAGCAATCAGAGTTTCAACCAATACAAGCCCTCACTAGCACTGCTTAGAGAGCAATTTAGGGGGCTAGAAGTGTACTTGTGTCTATTTCCACACCTGTCCGCAAGTGGAATCTCTCAGTAAGGTTATCCACGGGCCAATTACACTTTAGTGCCTAATATCAATTTTTTTTTTTTTAAAGTGCCATATTTCTGGCTGGACATTTTCTAAATCTACACACTATGCGGTGCCTGTCACTGTGTTCTTGATAAAGTCCTGCTCCAAGGCAGGGGAAAAAGAGGAGTCACTAATAGGGCAGAACCCCTTAAGACAGCACCGTTCCACTGTTTTTCTCTCAGACTGTGGCAAACTGAGCCTCTGCATGTCATGTCACAGTCCTGCAAGTGACACGAAGCAGTATTGCACAGTTAACCTTTTTTTTTTTTTTCCTCTGTCCTGCAATATAATTATCTGTATTCCTTTTTTAATAAACTTAGTTGTATATAATAAGGTACAAAAATATTAGAGAACATATACACAGTTTTTTGTCATTTTGTAGTGACTACTTTGCCTGTTTTTTTAAGCGTAGGTACTTCTTTGTGCTGGGTGATGAGGAACTGAACAGGCCTCAACTGAAGTGTAGTTTTCCTTTTTGTTTCATATTGTTGATGTCCGGTCTGTTCCATCTGAGGAGGGGAGTGGAGAAGAAACACAATAGATTTGAAGACATTTACATATATAAATAAAATATACTGCACAATTCACATTATGTTTTTGTTCACTGCTGGAGAGTTTAATCCCTTTTCCCTTTTTCCATGGGCAGAAAACATTATCTATGGCTTCCTAAGTGTCCATGTCTTTCATGTATTTTATGACAGGCCAGTCACTGAAAACAGAACATCTTACATTTGTTGAATACATTAAATAAAAGTATATACAATATAACCCAATAATAAATTCCTCTAAATATACACTTGCCATGGCGTGTATGTGGAAAAAAGTGAACGGGGCATTTGACATCATGTGATTTCTTTGTTAAAAGTAAAATAAGGCAAACAGTGAAACTTTTTAATACACTGAAATTATAACATCTCTCTCTGGCTAAGTGCAAGTGTGTATTTTCCTACTAACATACTGACAACCACACTTTCAGACTGCACACAAGGACACAAGCAGAAAATCAATTAGCTTATCCGTCTCTGGGAAAGGAAGAGTTTAAATTTGCCAAAGTCAGAAAACTCACAGCTGGTATACCTTTCTACAGCAGTCACAAAGGAGTCAGGAAAGAGAACACAGAGCTACTGAGCCTTGAACTGGTTTGACACGATGAGGTAAATTTTATCACCGTCTCTCTACAAGACACTATAATTTAGATCTTATTAAATATTAATGCAAAAATATAACTAATGAAATAAGAATTACATACGTAAGTCACCAGACTTTGTAATCTATGTTGGCATAGGTTAAGATGTGTGTGAACAAACTAAAATATACTGGCTTTCTTTCTCTCATAGCCCACATATAATACACAGTATAATGAGGTGTTGGTGCCTAGGCGGTAAGTGTGTGATGTTTGCTAGCCAGAGGGCCTGTTTAGTACTGAGCTGCTGAGAACACTTACCCCCTAAGGCATGCTCTGTCATACTGAGACACAGTGACTCCAGCGTGGGGTTGATCTCCAGGTCAGCACCTGGGACTTGGCATTCTGCAAGAGAAAGAGAAAAATAGTCTCAGTCCACAGGAAGGCTAAGTTTTACATTTTGTCACTCTACAGTTTACACTTTGCATTATCAGCACACAAGCATTCTCTGTCTTGTTTAACAGGAGGGGAAAGCATGTACTGAAGAGTAACTACCATTATTTTAATATGGTGTTCAGATCATTTGTTCGCTCAATTAAAATCTAAGAACAAGTTGACTGACACTTGTTAACCAAACAAACAAAACCAAAAAATTCAACATGCTGAATCTGCTGCTAATAAGAACCAACCAAAGCCAACAGTGACAGCTTGTACATAGTTTGTACACTTTAGTATATATAGTCTAACTATATTCGTTACTTATTACAGGATTTGCACAAGAATGCTCACCCAACTCTGAGCACATCTGATTGTGTACCGATAACTCTAAACAAATGAATTGGAAGTGAAAACAAAATGCCCGATTCAAATTTAACTCTAAATCTTCTATAGCTTTTTGAAAAACATCATCCAATATACACTCATTTGGAAAAAACTATTTATGTTTGGGAGTGTCTGTCAGGTGCCTCTTTCCGTGTCTCTTCCCCACTTCAATCTGATTCACTTCTGACAGTTCGGGTAAGAAAGACAAACAAACCCCTGAATACATGAAAAACATGAACGAGTGCAACCTGAGAATACTGCATAGAACGATTTTCATACGTACGCTGAGGTTTATAAAAACAAGGCGTTATCTTGACTGATTTGTCACCCAGGCCTCTCCAAGTTTCACTAAGTTTGGGATATTTAATATTTTCCTGTGGAACCACAATGTCAGTGCATTTGCCTCTTGTCTGCACTTTCAATAGGTAACACCAACATTACGATGAGTCAGTAATCTCAGTGAACTCTAAATAATCATCAGAGAGCTAATCTGCGTTGTAATAAAGTTCGAGTAAACGTGAGATGTTTACCCATAATGCAACTAACATTAATAAAACATAAGTTAACTGGCTGCTACTGACGCTGATGTGAGCATAGCACCACCTAAGATGAGGAAACCAGGGGACGCTCAGCCAAAATAGGAATGTTTTTCTCCAAAACTCTGAAAACAAATGAAGATGAGGAAGAGAGGAGAGGCGGAGAAGTAGTAGAAGAAGAGAGAGAGGTGAGGGGGTGGAAAGGGGGGGCACAAGCATCGGTGACACAGATATACAGGCAATGGGACAAATGCAGGCTGCAGGTGAACCAGCAGACAGAAGCAAACAGAACATCTGGCTAGGACCCAGAGTGGCTAAAGGACCCCAAATATAACCCATGGTTCTAGGTTCCAAATTGTTAACCTTATAGATTTAAAATAGCACGTTTGTTTCACATTTCTGAGCAGTTTAAACTGCAGTTTGCACCAGCTTGAGTTTATTATAGTTTTATCTTATATTTTCATTATGTGAATGTTATCTTTTTCATCTTAAAGATGGCTTGTTCCGACTTCTTTGATAGTGAAGTAACTGGGAGCTTTGACAACTACTTGTGTGAAATGAATCCATCTTATTAATGTTCTCCTTGTTTTACGTGACTTTTACATAGAAATTACCAACCAAAAGTCTTGTGTTGCATGTAGGATAAATAACCACAAATTTTAGTGTGCGCACAAAACCTCCATCATCCTCTTGCCACCGTGCCTGAAAAGGTTTCTCTGGGAAACACTGACACTACAGCTTCAGAATGTTTACAGCTGTTCTGAATGGGAGAAATTGATTCAAGGTGGAGTCTGAGACCATTTCATCTTCTGATCACTTGTGTTGCTGATTCTTATGGAATCAGTTGTAAACATGTGTACATACACTGGTGCAGCTTCAAAAATGTTATCATATCCTGTAAGCTTGCACTGGAAAGCACTGGTCACGCTGCATAACTACCACTGAAACGTCAACAATCTGATAATCGGATAGGTCAAATTCGAGCTAAAGTAAACAACAGAGGGCATATAACTGTGTGACATCTGATTTAAAGGACACATATGCAAAATTCACTTTTAGAGCAGACACACAAAGCATTAGAAAAGACCAGTTCCCGCCCGTTTTGCTTATTCTGCACTTGTAAAAGCCCCTGCTCGAACAGGCTCGTCTCTCTTTATGACGTCATACACAATGACGCGGCAGTTCATGTCATACATCCCCCTCCCATTAGATCCCTTTTGGTGCTACCAGTCATCCACTGTGATTTTCTTGCTAGAACATCAGATGAACAGCAACATGAATAGCTCAGAGCAAAAGGCAGATCCTGCTCAGTTGTTGGTTGAACAAACGAGTGCCCGTCTCTACCTGCTTCCATCCTGGGAGCCAGCAAAGACACAGTGGATATCGTATATTTATTGTGAAAATGTACCTGAAAATATCACCAAAACACTGTATGTCATGTTCTAATGCTAATCATTTTGGGTCAGAGTGCTTTCCCAAGAGAGTCAGTGCACCACTGGATTTACTTCCAGACTGAAGCTCAAGAGTGGATTTAGTCCAGCTGTTGATGCTGTAAGTGTTGCTGTTTCAAAATTATTTTACTGCTTGTGTATGAAGTTAGCCTGTTTAAATTAGCCACATTAGCTGCAATGTAAAGCGGTGCAGCTAACATATTTTACTGTAGCTTGTATTAAAGCCGAAGGGCAGGAACAGGTTTAGTGTTTGGGCTAGTAATACTGATGAACAGCCAGAATGTACCAGGGAAATTGTGTGAAACATTTTTAGCCAAATTTCCTGTGAGGAGTGGGTTGGATGGTGGTAACTGCTGGTTTGTCGAGCATCATTGTAACAGCACCAAACTACATGTAAACACATTAATGGTATTTCTCTATTAGACAACACTACCCAGGTCTGATAACAAGAGCAGTGTGACAGCGGGTTTGAGACAGTAGCAGGCCCATGTTCGAACGTCTGTGGTTGTTTAGTGTTTGGTTTAGAGGTAAAACATCAGTACATAAACCAGCGATGACTGTTTGGGTGCATAAGTTTGACACTTGATTGATCTTTACATTCAACTGCAAGAGTGTGCAGTGATGGGTGCTGCCTACACAGCTTTTAGATCATCCAAGTGAATTACTTCAGTATCTTACATATTTTTATGTACAGTTATGGTCTTTCTGTACATATACATATGTTTGATTCCTTGGTTTACTGTGATCTCTTACAGTACACCTAAAGAAGTGAGATACTTCCTTAAGTCCCTGCTAAACTCTGAGAAAACAATTTGCAGTCATGATATATCTCTATGTTTCCAAACTAAACTGTGGTATGAAGTAGCCACAGTCCCTTTAAGACATGGAATCTACACAGATCAGCCACAACATTAAAACCACCGGCAAGTGAAGAGAATAACAGTGATTATCTCGTTACAATGGCAGCTATCAAGAAGTGGGATATATAAGACAGCTGCTGAACAATCAGTTCTTGATGTTCATGTCAAGAACTGATCCCACAACATCACGACTTGGTCTGATCCCACAACAGCTACAGTAGCGCAAGCAGCTGAAAAATGTTGCTTTTGATGGACAGGTGTCAGACTCAAACACACACTGCATTACAGCTTCCCTCATATGGGGCAGAGACCAGTCAGAGTGCCCGTGCTGACCCGTCCACTGGCGAAAGCAGCTACAATGGGCACGTGAGCATCAGAACTGGACCACAGAGCAATGGAAAGCGGTGGCCGGGTCCGATGAATCACATTTTCTTTTACATCACGTGGATAGCCGTGTGCAATGTTTTACCTCAGACAGACATGGCACCAGGATGGGAGGACAACAAGCTGGCGGAGGCAGTGTGACACTCTGGGCAGTGTTCTGCTGTGAAACCTTGGGTCTTGCCATTCATATGGATGTTACTTTGACATGTACCACCTACCTAAACATTGTTGCAGACCAAGTACACCCCTTCATCACAATGACATTCCCTGATGGCAGTGGCCTCTTTCAGCAGGTTAGCGTGCCCTGCCACACTTCAAAAAAGTTTCAGGAATGGTTTGAGGAAAAAGACAAAAAAATTCAAGGTGCTGACTTTGCCTCTAAATTCCCCAGATCCCAATCTGATTGAGCAATTGCAAGATGGGCTTGAAAAACACACCAGATCCATGAAGGCCCCTCTTTGTAACCTATGGGACTTAAAGGATCTGGTGCTGATGTCTTGATATCAGATACCAGAGGACACCTTGAGAGGGCTTGTGGAGTCTATGCCTAAACAATATTATCAGGTGGTTTTAATGTTGCGGCTGATTAGTGTCTAATAAAGTGGGGTTAACCTGTTGAAGTTATTGATTTTTGACTTTCTGTTAAGGAAAACCTCTTCACACTGACTCTGAAACATGACAAAGGCCCTGCAGATGAATTTGTGACAACCAAAAGGTCATGGTATATTGTACAGGGTAACAGACTGTTTTATTCAATGTGCCATTAAGCTGTCTTGTTATTTTGTTCTTGGCACAGAAGGAGAGCAGCTATCTTACCAAATGGGATTGTAGTTTCTGTAGCTGACAAAACTCCCTATAAACAGTCAAAACTGCCGCTTCCAGAAGGTGCCACAGCCAGCGTTATCCACAGGTCTGTTACCTCTGCCAAAGAGGTTATGTTTTTACCACATTTGTTGGGTTTTTCCAAGCACTAGACTGTGCTGCTGAACTACTCTCATTAATTAACGCCACAGTTCGGTGCTCTGCCCCACTAATGTCAGTCTGTTGGTGATGGGCTATGAAATTTTCCCAAAGTCCTCCACACTCATCTTTCAAAGCTCGTTATCACATCATCAAAATGCAAACAAATGATTCCCTTTCCTGAAGATGAACTAACGTTACAATCCAACTCCTCTATGTGTGCCCTGTCCATGTACTGCCATCAGGACCTCGCGGTTGGCGTCACCCTTTTTGTTCCATCAACATAAAAAAAATGTACTTTCAGCATTTGTGAATCGATTCAACATCGAAGAAACTAGCATTTCTTATGTGAAGTGATTTTTTTTCATTCACCCCTAGAGTGCATACACCCATGTTAAGGAAAAACAAAAAAGAGGCTTGACCTCACACACCTTGCTGCTGGAACATGAGCATGGTTTGCGGGGAAGTGTGGACAGGGAGTGAGTGGGTCCGCTGCACAGAGCTGCGACTCTGACTTGGCATGCTGTTACTGCCTCCAGGGTTGGCAAACCACAAGTTCTATAGAGAAAAACACAAGTTCTCATTACACAAATGCCACTTATTCTGGGAGGCAAACTTTGCTAATCTTTCAGCAACATGCAAGTCATTGGAAAATAAGTCTTCAAGCTATTATAATGAATCAGTTTGTACCAAAATATGATGCCTAACTTCTTGACCTGTCTCATGTGTGCTAATTAAACTGCAGAGGCCTTGTTTTTTCCACTTGCTTTCGTTCCAGAAAAGATGGTTAAAGTGTATTATGACTCCCCTGGCATGTCACCATGTGGTCAGTATCTTCAGTGAATAAAGATAATGAGGAAAAACTCAGAACATAAATTTGTACAAGACTGAAAGGAAGTCAGGGCCAGTTATCTTAAATGCTACGTTAAGCTGTATAGTCGACTTCTAGTCCATAAAAAAATTCTGATCCAATTGTGATAGTCTTTCTTCAGCTTTTAAGAATAATCAGAATTCTCCAAAAACAAAAATTGTTTCATGACTGATAAATACGAACTATTCTATTCATAATTTTAAGACATTCTACACCCTAAATTATTTTTTTGCACTGTACATAATTAGTTTGGAGATAAAGGGCATAAATACAGGCAACAACAGTATTGATGCTGTGTGTAAAAACAGCCTTTTTTGCTCAAATTTAGCTCATTTCTGTCTGCACGAGTTCCAGAACCATGATGACGCAGGCAAGACTCCAGGGTCTTTTAGCATTAGCAAGCAGCCGAAAAATGATGCTGAATACAAACATGATTTACTCCTCAGCAGAGGCAGTAAGCATAACATACAGACCTACTAATGTCTCTGCAGTATTCAGAGCTTACAAATATATTTATAGTGACTAACAGTAACTTAAACCACGATAAACGGCTGCTGACATCCCTCACAGACAAACACAAGCATGTAGTGGAAAGCCTCTCATAGTAGAGCTCCTAGTTCAGCTACAACGCAAGAACTCACATGATGATTCTCTCAAAGAGCCATTAAACATGCTTGTACTGACTGTCAGTGCTCTGCCAGACCCCCCTGTCTCTCCAGCAGAGAAAATGGAGGTCTGACAGTACATTCTCATTGCTGTTAGCTCTGACCCTGTCTGTGCTGCAGTGGCGGTCAGTCTCCCCGTGCCCCCGACTCTCCATTTAACACATTAGGGAGCAACAAGGCCACACCCCTTACAGTTGCTGTTTCCTCACTCCTCTGTTTTATTCCGATACTAGGAGAGAGGCTTCTAGCACAATTTGAGGGTATAGCTACAATTTAAGGCAAGCTACATGTTTCATGTTAATGCACATGTCCAATCATTGACAGGAATACTAACTTGTCTACCCTGGCCTGCCAGCGCAGGATTGGTGAGTGTGTGGCGTGGAGAAGCTCCCCCGATCCCACTGGGACTCAGAAGACTTATGCGCCCAGCTGGGAGTCCACGAGGGGCCATTTGGAACTGCCTCTGGCCTCGTCGGCCTACACCTCCACTCACAGAGCCTGCTGTGGGGAGGGAGTTGGACCCATAGGTCCAGCTGGATAAAAAAAAAAAAAAAAAAGAGCATACATCAGAAACCAGAGAGAGTTAAGAGAACAGCTGAAGCCATTTTGTCTGAAATGATGGCTATTATTTCAATAAGGAAGAGAGAGTAATGAAGAAAGAGGAAGGAGAAGAGAATCAAAGTGACAGCTAGACAGTAAGGGTGAGTGCAGGGAGAGTGCTCCATTCAGCTGCGTGACACATCCCCTGATAAAGAGGGAGATCAAAGGTAAAAGAAGGGCAGCGGTCTCACCCTTTCTGTCGGTACACAGGCATGTCCAGCATAGCTTTCCGAGGGAACAGGCGGAGCAGTTTGAGGACCTGCTGTTTCCAGGAGACCAGCCTTTTCTTGTGGGTTTCTGTGAAAGCCTGACGGAGAGCGAAAAAGACAGGAGGAAAAAAAGGCAGCAGATTTTCAAAGAGCATTCACAAGGATTTGGGAGACGCTTCTGGAATTTGTAATTTTTAAAGAAAAAGCAATGTTTTATTGTTAATTTCAAAAGAAAAACTATAGGTCACTGCAAGATTCTCTTAATAACAGTTCATATAAACTTGCCTATTTTGATCATTTAATAGTTTAACAGATTGTTTTTGTGCTTTAAAATTAACATTAGGTGTTGTTACAACATTGCACAAAAGCATGCATACAAATGACTTCAAAATATTAAGAAAATTTAAAAAATAAAAAACTTGATGTGCAGGTTTTTACCTCATGTGTCAGACATTTCTCAATGAGCTGAAGGTAACAGCTGATATTCTCCTCATCTGGCCTTGACACCAGTAGCTGGGTACATACTGAAACAAAAAGAAGCTTGATTTATACAGTATATTGATGTGCATTAAGTCTTAATTTCGAACTGAGGGATATCTGCTGATTTGTGCATTTAAGGGCAGGTGGGTATTGATCTTTTATTCAGTATCTATGCCCTTTATGCTGACCTGGACATAAAATGTGCTAATAGCTTTTGTTAAAGAATTTTGTTTTGCTGTTGATAGTGTCTCGTGTGTGTGTGTGTGTGTGTGTGTTAGCAAAGTTATAAGAGCATTACATAACCACTAATGTAATTCACAATTGACATCTAATCAGAAAAAAACCCAATGTGTTCTTACCTTTGCCCATGACACGTGTGAACTGTCCTGCAATGTCGCCGTCTGAGATAGGTGTGGCTGAAGAGTCTCCATCACAGGGAGGTGGGTTGTGGGACTGGAAGCCCTCTGAGGTCGGCTCCTTATCTGCTCCTGTTTTTGTGGCTTCTGAAGGCGAGGTGGGAGTGTCTGACGCTGGCTGTGTTGTACTGACAGGGCTGTAGGCCTTGATGGGTGTGATGATGATCTGTTGCAGCTCCTGAAGGGCATTACGAAGGTTTCCCCCTTCCAAAATATCCTGGTAAGAAATGACATCAGCGCCACATGTTGTGTGACCTACTCAAGAGGTACACTTTGGTTTAAAGGGTGATGTTGGGAGTAGAGAGGAAGATATCTAAGCTGTAAATCTGGATTTAGTAGAGCAAACATTTAGTACACTGAAATGCCTTAGAGGAAGACAATGAATCTCTGCCTGCCCTGCTCTATGTCTGTTTCTGTGCCAACAAGCAGAATGAGGATTTCCTAATAGAACTAAATCAAGTGCCACATAATCGTCGATGAGTACACACTCAAGTGTATTTTTGATCAGTACGAGTGACAATCCATCATGACAAAACACTCCTCCCCCATTTCCAGCACAAGGACAGCAACCCCAGTCCCATCTGAATTACCTTTTCTAAAGACTTGAGCACACTCTGCCTCTCTCGCAGTTTCTGGATACTCAAGGCAATCTTATGCCGTGCTCCTTTAGTGACGTTCTATAAAGGAGCGACAGAAAATAACAAGGTAGCATTACATGCAGGCAAGTCATTTCTTGTGGGAACACTGGGCAATTTATATAGTTACTAAATAACAAACCTAATCACCATCTGTTTCATTATAAAGCCAAGGGGCAAAGGCAAAAATCACACAATTTGTATGTGTGACTGGCTCAATATAACTGTAGGGTGCACTGCTTAATTTCATGCCTCATTGAGAGTTGATGTATCATCAGGTCTGAGGACAGAAATGTTTGCAATTGATAACGGGGGTGGAATAATCAAAGCCTGGCCCCAGTGTATGTAAAAGCGCAGTTTAAAAACCTGCGACTCCAGGTGCTGCTCTGTGAGAATCATCATCTCCTCATAGGTCATCTGGGAGAAAAGTGATGCATATTTATGCAGGCGGAGACTCTTCAACCATGCAGGAACATCTAGAACAAACAAGGGACAAAAAAAATGAAAAAAGTCATGTTACATTTCAAATGATATCACCACAGCTATTGACTGTGGATGGCTTTTACCAGAGTTAAATGCCATGAGTGCCCTTGGCTCGGTTAAGTAATGAACTCTGACCTTTCATGCCACTGCCATCCTCCTGGAAAGTGTTGCGAGCAGAGCCCTGTTCTTCCGTCTGCTCACTGCCTGAGGAGGCAACACTGCTCTGGGGTGAAAGGGGCGCGTGGTCTGTTGGAATGAAGTTCTGTCGGACCCCTGTGTCATCTTGACTGACCCACTCAGAGCCACAAGCCTGGGGACTGGAAGGAATTACGGACATGGACTTCTTCAGAGGGCTAGGCTGCATCTGCCCACCCAGTCCTGCCAAAAGAAAACAATCCATGTATGATTAACAACGAAAAAATGATTGCATTTTTACAGGAAATATTTTAACAGACTAGGAGCTCTGATACCAAATTATTTCCTCTCTGTGTTTTACTCCATTTCAAAAATAAAATGTTAACGAGAAATATTACCTGTGTTATTGCTGTTGATGGGAGAGGACATCCCGCCTGGGAAAGACATGTGTCCATTCTGGCCTGCTGGAGATGTACTGGATAAGGGGGACTTGTCGTGCCAGGCGTGGCCAGGGTCCAGGGCCTCAGCAGAGCTGGGCCATTCATCTGAGCCTTGACGTGGGTGGTAAGGGTTGGATGGGGCTCGGGGAGTATAGCCACTGGACAGGTGCTCCTCCAAGTGGTTTAGCCACATAGCCAGAGAGGTGCGATCATCCAGTGTGGTGGCAGGGTGGATGAGAGCATAGGACAGCAGCTGTCTGCTTTCTTCCACAAACAGGCTACTCTCGATCGTGTGAGTCAACACCTTCTGGAGCAGCTTCATGTACTCGCATTTGGCCTCGCTGTTGCGTGGCTGCAGCAGAGGCAGATGGGATAGCAGCAAGGACACCACTTTCTCCTTTGGCTCCTGATGCCAGTGGCTGACAATTGCTAATGACAAAGGGTGTTCAGTCAATTTCACTACTGATTACTCTTTTATTAGTTATTTAATACAAGCCACCTTCAACTTTAGAAAAAGAAAGGACTATCAAGTGTTTCAAAGTAAGAGAAAACAGATTTTTTTTTTTTTTTTTAACTCTGTTACCTGCATTGTTGGCCTCTGCTTCAAGAATGTGAATCTCTGTGCAGTCTGCCAGCCAGTGCTCAAGGCAGATGTGTAAGAAGCGAGCCTGGGTGCGGGACACCCTCTTCAGGAGGGACAACAGTGCCACCGTCTGTTCGCACTCATTCCAGCCTTTGAACCAATCTGTGAGGATACCTACCTGGTCTCGGAACATCATTGCGTATCTCCTTGATAAGGAGAACAATAATGTGCAGATGAAGAGGGGGCTATTGGAAAGACTGTACTCTCAGACACAGATTGGATCAGTCCAGCCCCGCACAGCGGGGTCGTATCTGCAACAATCCTGGGATCCCCTCAGACTAAACCGAGGGTCCCTCACATGGTTTAGATGCAGAAAAAACTGCAGGGCTGCCGTGTGGATTATTCTGAAGTTGTCCTGTGCAGTGTGTCGACTGTAGTTGGTAATGACACAAACAGGAAAAGCTTTTTATTCACTCTTGCATGTTCAGGATCACATCATCCATGCCCTGCCCTATTAAATCAACAAACAGAAAAAAGAAAAAACATTACACAGAAGTTCACCAAATGTGTTCTTCAATTTTAAAATCTTAATCAACCCAGAACTGATTTAGCATAAATTCATTCCAAATTTGTTTAGGATTTTTCTAACGTTAATGTGTTCACCATGACACAACCACATTTTTATGCAGGAGTGCTTTGACAGAAGCATCTACAACCTACAGACTTACTATCCGAATACACTCCTCCTGTAATCCTAATATTGGAAGCAAAAATTTTTACCCCAAAGTTGCAACCACAGGAGTTGGATTATCAGTTCTGATGAGTGTAAAACTGAACTGGCAGTGGGAGACTGAATAGGTTGTGATATGCAAATAATGGCAGTGACACAGAATATAAACTTAAACTGGAGTTATCACTTTTCCATAGTTACATAATGGGCTCTGTATGTATAATTTACAGGTTAACAACAAACGGTATTATAAGAAAGGTCCAGGGTTATCTAAGGGCGTTATAAGAAGTAAGCTTTCACTAATAAACTAAAGTTATCACTTCACAGAGATTTTTGTCGATCTTGCTGCTCAAATCATGTTATGATGATAAAGGCGCGACTCATCCACGAAAGGTGTGCCTAACCCAAAGATAACAGTCAAGTCAATATCGTAGAGTAATGCTTACCACACACACTACTGAAATAATCTGCTATCCAAACAATAAAGCCCGTTGTGCCCTGTATTTATAACAGGTAATTACATTACACTGTTCAGTACTGTTTTAATAGCTAATGTATGTATGAACTACTAAGTGCTAATATTACAAATGGTAGCACTTGTAACAGTATGAGCTACCTTTCTGTTTAAGGCACAAACCTCAGCGTTGGGCTGAGCTCCGATCAGCAGATTGTTGGTGTGACTGTTCCTGGGAGGCGTATTAACATGAAACAAACTAACATTACACCCGGCGGCTTAACAGCAGACAGCGGTTAGCCACAGTTAGCTTAGTTGGCCTAGTAAGTGATGTTCAGGGTTTGTATTGTTTTTCGTTGACGCTGTTGCTGCCCCTTTTTCCGTTTCGTACTCTTCAGTCTTAGCGATACAAACAGTGGCTTTAAAATGCAGTTTTAATCGACAGCAGGCTGTTGCTAGCTAACTTGACAAAGCTATGCGAGTAGCGATTTATGACAAAAGGAGTAAAAAAAAAAATCTGTTTACCTTTGTCAGTTGTCACTGGTTAGCGAGCTAAGCTAAAGTGCTAAAGCACAGCTAATTCGACGGTAGCTGAGTTCAAGCGTTATCTTCTTTAGCTAGCAAGTTTTGCTAACATATGCAATAACGTTAGCTTATCTGAAAGAAGCGTAGACTTCGATCCCATACATAGTGTTCCTCAAGAGTATTCCTTAAGTGCGGAAAGCCCCTGCAGTTTCAAATATACAATGTTATAGAATGTACGTACAAAAATGGTTATTGCAATACAGAAAATAAAGAGTGTACGCCTGGAGAATTTTTCTTCTTCGTCTTCTTCTTCTTCTTCTGTAGTCTATTTGCGGTTTGCATGCCGGTATAAGGTGCACTACCGCCACCTACTACCTATTGCAATGTGCTTCGATTTTGAGTTGACGTAAGACGTAGAATGACGCCATACGTCTGGTTGGCACGTAATGCTTTGCTCCGCCCATTTCGTCTCCTATATAAAAAGGCCCAGACGCCGACAATTTTTTTTATTTTTGTAAAAGTAGGCATTGTTAGCATGGTCTAGGTCATCACATATTTCCAAAGCTGGAAATCAAAGGTGATGATGACCTGGCAGTTAGGGTTTCATTGTCTTGTTCAGGACCTCTAATTAAACCATCCATTGTACAACTCATGGCCAATGCACCACCTGAGCTACAGGTGCCACAAATTCCAAAGTAAATCAACCCTAGAGTAAGCTGTTGAGTGTTTGAAATAGTGAATGAACAAGGGAGACTCGGCAGGCTCTAAGCACAGTGTTGTTGTTGGTTGGTTTTTGTTTTTTTGCCATAAGTTGACAGTATTCTCAGGTCATAGAAGGTCATCAGTAATCATAAAGCTGGTGGATCCCATATGCCCTTGAGCAATGCCCTATGTCCACCCGATTTACTGCAGAGAATCATTGCAGTTTTTTCTGTGCATTCCATTCAAGCATGCAGGGTTTACACCTTCAGTGATCAAAGTGTCTGATACAAAAAAAATTTACAATCTTATCTACTGCTATGACTACATTACATTCACCTGTGCAATACAACAATGATGTAAACCAGTGATAAAAGTCAATTTTTATCAAGCTTTTACTTTTGATGCTTCAGTACATTTTGAATGTGAAGAGAGAAGAGGGGAATTATTCTATTATGGTATTGTTTGTATAAAGGATTTTAGTACGCTTCTGCCTCTGCAAGTTTGTAGTTGACATCGTATGATAATGGGAAGTGAATCTAACACTAACTAAAGCAAGACAAAAACCTATAATATAGAGACAGTCATATACAACACAATTTCAGCTTCAAACATTATTATTCAAGTTTAACCTTTTTAAATTTGCACCATTTTTGTGCACATACCTGAAAAAGACATACCCAAAATACAATGGTGAGGTTTACACTAATGACCTTGTGTCATTGAAAAGTTAACACTTAGTCTATCCTGCCACACTAATATTTATTGATAGCATTTTTTTTCCTTAATGCATTATATATGCATAAAAAGATGGTGATACTGTTTAATACAACATGTAGCTGAGCTTCACTCTGGTGTCAGTTCATGGTGTTGAAAAGAGGAAGCAGCACTGATGTGTTCTGGCTGTGTCTGCCCTCCCCTTACCATCTTAAGGAGGATCTTTTGACAGTCTGAGAGTAACTGACTGTTTGTCACGAACTGTTTCCGCAAAACAGTGAAGGCAGGGCAGCTAAGAAAGATCCTTGGACAATGGTAGGTGACACTGACACAATTGCTTGAAAGATTTTGCTTATTTGCACAAATTTACTGGACCTGATTACCTGTCATCCATAAATGTTTGTGCGTATAAAGAGAATTTTTATCAAATGTATTAATTTTACAATTGCGACACAAGTACACTCCCTCTCACGCTCTATCACACAGGAAGCTATACTTTTGCATGTTGCGGCACAAACATTTCCTGCCCTCAATATGTCAAACTAGTGTTGCAAATCTGTTAATGCAAGGCGGCTAGAGACCAGGTAGCACGGTGGTGCGGTGGTTAGCACCGTTGCCTCACAGCAAGAAGGCTCCGGGTTCGGGCCCCACCCAGGACTCTTCTGTGTGGAGTTTGCATGTTGTGCTTGTGTGGGTTCTCTCCGTTTACTCCGGCTTCCTCCCGTAGTTCAAAGACATGCAGCTTAGGTTGATTGGTGTCTCTAAATTGCCCATAGGAGTGTGTGTGTGTGTGGTTGTTCGCCTATGTGTTAGCCCTGCGATGGATTGGGGACCTGTCCAGGGTGTCCCCTGCCTTTGCCCGATTGCCAGCCGAGATTGGTCCTGACCCCCCTGCTCAGGGATTAAGATGAATGGATAGAGACCCCTACATCTGAGCAGCTCAAGCAGATGTCTTATACCATCTTTCTTTGTTTCTATTCCTGACTGGTAGACCAGTCCACTCAACCTTATCAGAAGCAGAGGAGCATCAGGAGATATTTCAATATTTCTTCATAGTTTAAGTCATATTTTCTGTGCCGTTTTGCAGTCAAGCTCTCTGGTTGTGTGTGAAGTGGATGAAAGTCTGAAAACTAAACTGAGAAAGTTTAGATTTCGAAAGGAGACCAGTAATGCTGCCATACTAAGTAAGTATCTTACACTGGTGGTGAATGTTGCAGCCACTTGCACATCTCCACTTTAACACACTTATTTGATTTACACAAATTCAACTCCCAGTCCATCAACAAATATAAAACTGAACCAAAATCTTACATAATTTTATATTTTAGTGAAGATAGACATGGAGAAACAACTTGTCATCCTTGAAGAGGAGTATGAGGCAAGTATACATGTTGTAATGTTTCACTTTCAGATGATTATATTCAGAGTTGAAACTCACTTAGGGTCTGCTTTGTCCTTCAGGACATCTCACTGGATGAGCTGAGAAATGAACTTCCAGAGCGCCAACCCAGATATCCTCCGTCTTTTGAAAATAGCAAAATCCTCAGACTTACACAAAGTGTATTTGCAGATGGTGTAGTACACGGCAGCAATCTGACAATATTTTAAGTTCCTTGACAACAGTGCACATTCATTGTCTACAGCTACAAGTATGTCCATGATGATGGTAGGGTGTCCTACCCTTTGTGTTTCATATTCTCCAGTCCAATGGGTAAGCAATCATCTTTTCAAAACTTCTTTATTGAACTATTTTCTGAAGAACAAATTGACAAACTGACAGGCAACTTTTTTTTTGTCTGAGAGCCAGTTTTAAGAAGTTAGAGCAACGGTAATTTTGAAATCAGTTTAATTTGTTGAGATATGTTCAGTCAAATGACAGAAGCCTTTGAGAAAATGCCAAATCCATTTTAACAGGATGCAAGCCAGAGCAACAGATGATGTACGCAGGCAGCAAGAATCGACTGGTCCAAGCTGCAGAGCTCACAAAGGTACTTATGTCAACATTTAATCTATATTTTAATCAAGAAACTTAATGAATTTAAAAATAAGCAAATTAATGGCAAATGCATCAAATATGCACAGCACATTATTAACAGCACAACGTTACATCTCAGGCTGTCCAATCACAGGGCCTACAGGAAACTGAGGCATGTTTTTAAAAACCTGTGCCTGATAGTCATTATTAAACAATGACAAAATCACAATTTCTGTCAGTCAATATCGTAATACGATAGTCTCACCAATATTGGTGTATCTTGTTGCTGTTGTTGCTTCTACCCCCATATTTTATTAAAAAAGTGGCTTGAATGTTTGAAGTAATTATCAACATGGTTCCATTTATATAATTCAAAATTTGACATTTTCTACTTTGAGGTCTTTGAAACAAGAAACACAGATGACTTGACTGAAGAATGGCTGAAGAATCATCTGGCATTTTTTCGCTGAAAATACATCTTCCATATGTTTTTCTTTGTGAAACGTGGTCTTTAAAGTTTTTATTGCCGTGTATGTTACTGCTATTAAACCCTAGATTGTATGCCATCATGTTTTGTCAGTTTTGCATATAAACCATATTCATATTAGACACGAACAGTCCCCTACTGTTTCCGTTATAAGATGAAGCATAGACCGTTTGGTACTGCTTGGACTGACTGTAAAATAAGCTGATAAGTGATGAGATCAATGGATTTAGGGAACCTCTAAATAAGAGAAAATGACCTTTGAACCCAAGTTTCTTACAATATGTCACTTGCCATTTATTCCGTATCACATTGACATGTTGGAACCAGAGAGGACCTAGACATTTTTCCATAATCCTGTACTGAATATCTGAAAAACAGAGGTGTAAAAAGCTAAGTGATGTTAGCTAAATCTACAAATAAAAACTGGACTGATGCCAGATCCCTCCAGTCCAAAAGTGATGAGTTTCTCACATACGCATTACACTGGATATTTGCAATCATCAAGAAACTACCACCCCAGACCGAGCTTATAGTAGGGTAAGTGACAAGGTAGCAGCTGTATTTGTAGCTGCACACAGTTTTGACAGTGGCCATGACCACACTGTCCAGACCACAGAGCTCATTCACTGTCACTGGCATCACTGGAGTCTGAGCCTCTCTCACTTCCACTTCCACTCTGAGCCTGGGCCTCTGAATGGTCACTGCTATGGTCGCTGCGTGCCGGAGAGGCACTGCGACTCCTGCTGCCTCCTCTGTTCCCTCCTTCATCCTCACTCCCACTCCCCTCCTCCCCACTGCTCCTGGCTGAGTTCTGGGGCTCGTTGTCATCACTGTCATCGTCGCTGCCGAAGATCTCTTCCTCGTCTCGCATTTCTCTGGTCCTCTCCTCGCCGCTCTCACTTCCACTGCCACTCGCTTTCCTCCTCCTCTTCCCTCTGTCCTCATCCTCTTCATCCTCTTCTCCCCTTTGTTCCCGGTCTTCATCCTCCCTCTCAGATTCACTACCTGAGTTCTCTGCCTCACTGCCACTGTCCTTCTCTTTTTCATCACCTGGAGAGAAAACAATTCAAGTATCATACAGAGCAGAAAGTGAATCCCTTTAGCAGACAAAGACATTACCACAGCATAGCATGTAGCTAATTCAGTAGGCATGAAGTGATGATAAAGGAAAACTGACCAGAGTCCTGCATGTCTTTATCCATGTCCATGTCCTCCTCTTCATCTTCTGGCTCATGGTTCTCCAGCTGAGCTTTACGTGCTTCCTGAGAATCACAATGAAGAGAATTATGAGTCACCAGCACACCTCTGTATGATGACTAATGAAGAATCCAAGCTTTTAGCCACTGCTGTATAACAAACAGTCCTGGTCATCACTTTTATTTAGCTGAGACATGTATTGTTAAATATGTATATAATATATTGTACATGCAAACACCAAACCCTCACTGCATGCAGGATTAACTATAAATTAATATGCTATTCACAGTCACCTCCCATACCACTACTTCTGTTTTATATGTCCTGTAATGTGTATAATGTGATGTGTATCTATTTTATTTGATTACGGTCACATCATTAATCTATGGTATATGCTGTACAGTTTTCTCCTGTTTCAATCTGTACAATTGTATTTTGTTATATATAATTATTTTAATTAGGGATGGGAAAATATGACATTTAATACATCACACTGCAACAATGTATCACTTTGTCTAGCAATAAATATAGGTCTCCTTAATATACCTGTGACTTCATATTTTTTGTAAATAATAGAAGATAAGTCAATATATCTGGTTGCTCTTTATATAATCAAACTAGTGCCAGAAAAGGGGAAAAATAGGAAGAAAGGACAAGTATTCCACTCATGCATTGTTGTTACTGAATTTTTAATTGTATTGTGATTGAATCAAATCATATTGAGAAAAAAACCCATCCCTAATTTTAATAAACAATTTGCTGTCCATAAAGAATGAGTCATTATCATGCACTAGTAATTCAATTATACACTAACTACTGTTCAGTAAGTAGCACACAATTCGACTTTTATGCACGACTACATGCTCCAAACATTGAAAAACAAAAACAACATATGTAAGTGTAATATCAATAAATGAAAAGCACACTCACCTGAGCCTCAAGCTCCTTCTCATTCATATCTCTGTGCTTACACACCAGCACAGCGTTTGTGGTCGACTGTGCTCCAGCCTTTGCTCTTCTTTTGCTCAGACGCACCCTGCAGGACAGAAGAAGGGCTGTCAGAGGACAAGGCCTGTTTTCTATGATATATAAGGGTGGTGGTGCTGTTCTTTCTGTTAAATGTATATTGCTCCTTCTTCCTATTAACATGTAACAACAGTCTCTTTTCACCTTGTCTCAAGCTCATTGTAGTAAACACCATCTCCATCTCTGAAGATAAAGAAGTAGTTCTCTTCGTAACCCTTGCTGGCTTTGTTCTTGACGTTCCAGTTGTACTCCCTGGCTATCTTGTAATCATACCTGAAACGGAACATAAAACTCATCATTACTTCCTGGTATACAACTTAAAACAAGTACAGCCAACTAAAGATAGTTTTTAAATACAGCAAAAAAGGATCCATGATTTATACTCACAGTTCATCAGGCATATAATCCAGCCCCTCCTCACAGTCTCTCTTGCGCTTGCGTAGCGTATCTTCATTGGGGAGGAAGTATGCCACAAACTGATTTCCTTCCTCATCCATCATACCTCTGTATTCAAGAGATAAAAAAAAAACAAGTTAGGATTACTCCACTGGTACAGTTTATACACACATCCACACAATAGATATTTCATAGATACCTGATCATGGCCTGAGACATCATTTCCACTCCTGCTGGCCCTGACATGTCTTTAGGTGCAGGATCAGAGTCAAAGATGACCTGAGCACATGGGTTGATCCACATCTGGGAGAGGAGAAAGTGTATACAATATCATTATCTAAACCTATGAAGCGCATGTTTGTGAGTTAAAGTACAATAAACTGAAAACAACTAGCCACTGAAGCAACAGCAGATTTTAATTTGCTGTATTATATTGTGAACTGTTTGTGTCATTTGAAATCATCCACCCAATTTCCAAAAGTCAATATATTGAGTGAAATGATTTCTGTTAAGCAGCTAGCTCACCTTGAAGTCAGGGAACGCAGGTAGTATCTCCACGGGTGTAACTCTGGGTTTACTGTAGTGCTGTGTTATCTAAAGAGAAACAGCATATTTACAAACCATATCTCATTTTTCACTTACCTAAGCAGACATGTTAACCAAGAATTGTTTGAAGTTTGGGTTAACCTGCCAATTTGAATCTTACAGCAGACTTTATAAACAGTCCTCTGCTGCACACAGCAGCAGTTAATTAAGAAGGGTTTGAGCAGCCTAGAAAGACGCTCACTCACTGATTTCTGTGCATCCTCAAATGTCTTCTCGATAGCAGAAATCTGACTGTCTCTGTCCTTGTAGATCTCTTCTTCTGTAAACTGCTGTTTGACAGATACTCCGATCCTAAATATAAAACATGCATAGGTTACAAATACACAAACACACATAGAAAATACATTTTCGCTATTAGTACATTTAAGGTGAATACATTAAACCAACTTACTTGACTTCCACTTTCTCATTGGAAACTCCATATCTGTTAAACTCTGTGGAAATGTATTCTGTCTTTCTCATCCACGGGACCACTTTGGCATGCTGTTGAGACCTAGTATGGAAAAAGAAAAAGTTTAAATTAAAAATCTCCACATTCATTTATAACAGCATTAATTACTCAACATCAGCTACTTGGTAGACTTACCTCTTTGAACTGGATGGAGCTTGGATGTCCTCTTCCAACAGTTTTTCATCAGCGGGATCCAAAAGTACTGACAATTTAAAAGATGCGTTCAGTCTACACAGGCATTTGATAAAGAAGTGTAGTCTGAAAACATAAAAAATAGGATGTGGCATGTGATCACAACTGGAAACTTACTGCTGGGGTCTATGCGGTAGGTGTCTGGGTTGATGAGGTCAATGGTGACCCCGAGGTCTGGTTCAGTCAGGAGCTCATGCTTGTGCTGCTTCTCCAGAGATGTGGCTTTATACTGTACAAACCTACAACAACAGAAAACACAACTGTCAGGCTGTGCCCTGGCTCTTCAGTATGTACCCCATGGATGACGTGGCTGGGCATTTACCTGTGCTGATCAAATGGATATGTGATGAATTTGGGGTCAAAAGGAATGTCTGGCAGGCTGTTGCAGTACTTAACCCGACACACTACTCCTGACCTGTTACAGGGACAAAAGCAGATGTCAAATTTAGCTGTGCTTAGCTAGTCATTCTGACATACAGATGGGGCTAAACATGATGGTATCCATACACCTCACTGAAAGAGTGCTCAATTTTTCCTGAAAGTGTTGAAAAGTTCTGTTGTCCTGCATACCTGCATGCCTTTTATTTACAACAAAAAAAGAAGTTATGAAAAAGATAAAAGTCTTGTTATATTCTTCAAAAACCTTCTACAATGGCCTAAACAAGGTTATTTGGAACAGCTTAGAAATGGACTGCAGAGATACTTCAAGCAGATTACTGTCTTTGATATTGCAGGTGTCTTCAATTTAATAATGAGTTGTTCATTCTATTTAGAGAAAAAGTACTTGTGATGCAGATATATTATGTTCTATTAGGCTATCAAACTAAACACAGACAAAAGAAAAGAAGAGACTTGTCTGAGGAAATAACGAAGCAAATAACTTCCAAACATGGAAAAGGCAAAGGCTAAAAGAGCATCTCCAAGCAGCTTGATGTTCTTGAGACCACATTTGCTAATATTAAAGATATTTAAGGTCCAACTTGCTGTTCAGCTTTTGCATGTGTGGTTTTCATTATTCCCCTGGACTGAGAAAGGAAACGATCAGCATCAGAGTTTAAGAATTAGCATTAACATTATCCACTTGCAAAACAGCCATATACATCCATACAGCCTACTAACCTTGGGAACAGCTGTATTCTAACGTTATCTTAGCTATTCCTACCAACTTGCTCAACGCGCATTTGATGAAATGCATTAAAAACACAAACACAAAAGCTGTTCACATATCGCCCTTTGTTTGTGTGTGTGTGTGTGTGTGTGTGTGTGTGTGTGTGTGAGATGAAACAGCGAGGAAACATTGAACAGTGTCAGACAGTGTTAAATCTACTCACCTTTCTGGGACAGTTCGGTGAGATGACGGCCTACTGGAAGAGAAAACAGGCAGTTTTGTTATCATCTTTCATAAACGAATACAAGTGTAGCATAAATGTTTGAGTGAAAAGTCAATAATGTCTTTATGTTTGGTTGGCTAAACAACTTTAAAAATATAGGGGGATTTTAAAAAATCTTGAAAAAATACACACCTGATGAGGTCTCTAAATACTTCTCATTATCTTATTCTTGTCTTAAATATATTGTAAAAGTGCTACCTTAGAATAAGATCATAATAATAAACATAATTGAATTTCTGATAATGCCAACACAACCATGGCAAAGGTTTTTTTTTTTTTAAACATAGCAAATGTTTTTAAAAATTAGAGTCAGTCTAGATGTATACCTACAGTCAGTACCTAACGTTAAAATACAGGGACTGTCTGCACTATACCACTGGTAACATTATTGTTACAACAAAGTAGATTTCAGCTCACTGTGGGGTGCGTTCATCAATATGGAGATTTCAGCTTAGCTACATGCAACATTTTACGATATTTTAGGGAAGGGCTAAATGTAACCTAGTTACGTTACGGTATCTTCTGTTAAAGTGCAAGCTACTTAATGGCTAACTCTCAGACGCTTGCTAAGTTAAATTAAATTAACTAACTAACTCTAGCTATGTTACTGCTAGCATTTGAACTGGCTAACTTACATTACTATTCATACAAAGTATATATATTTTTTCTACCTTATGTTACCACGAATGACTGGAAACACCAAAAGTATGCAATTTAACATCAGTTAGCTTTAATTAGCGCTAAATATCAGCGTTAGCTAGCGCGCTAAGCTACCTTAGCATAATTAAAGTTTAGTTAACGTTAGCGTCAGCTGCCTAATAGCCATTGTTAACTAAACGTTACAATCTAATAAACGTTAACGATTCGTAGCTCCTTTAACATAGACTTGATAACAGCAGCTTTAAATTCCAAATGCAGAGAACTTACTAGGTCAACGAAATTGTAAAAGCATTTGTAAATACCTGTGTCCGTCTTCTCGTTGAGCTTGTGTCTGAATCGTGGGAGCCATGTTTATGACAAACTGCTCACAACTAACAGCAAAGTTCTTTGTTTGTACAAATAGGCTAACACTAATACCCACAAACACAACCAATACCCTTTGACAGAGTAAATACAAACAAACGTTACATCTAATTTCTATCACAGTGCATGTTTATTTTGCCCCCGGTAGGACAAAATTATGACCCGGTGGTATATCGACAGTCAAAGCTTTGCTTTTTTTCGTGTGTGTGAGCGACCCCTACTGCTCCCGTGTGTGTAATATTCAATGTAAAACAACTCCTTATTGGCCATATTGATGCAAAACAACCAGTGGAAAGTAACTATGTACATTTGCTCAAGTATTGTACTTGTACTATTTTGGTGTATCTGTACTTTACCCAAGTATTGTCATGTGTGCTACCCCAACTTCAGTACATTTTAGAGGGAAACATTGAATTTTTTACTGCGCTACATTTATTTGATACCTTTTGTTGCTAGTTGCTTGCTTTTCAGTACCAGATTAATACAAAAAAATATAGTATAATCATAAACTTTGATGTTCGGTGGAAAATCCACAATCTACCTAGCAGTAATTAAGCATATAACAAATTAAAATGAGCTCTACCTTTACCAGCCATAGCATTAAATGTGATGTACACAATGCTTCAGTAATTACAAGCCAATAATATTTGTATTAATATTAAATATGCCATTCCACATATTCCACTATTACCTTTAGTACTTTAGTTATGGTTTGATGGTAATGCTTCTGTACTTTTACTTTAGTAACATTTTGATGCATGATTTTTATTTGTAACTGAGTATTTATACACTGTGGTATTTCTACTTTTTCTTAAGGGTTTTGAGTACTTCTTCCATCACTGAAAACAGCCATGATATTCTGCCTCAGTTAGAACCCAGACCAAAACCGTCTGCTGGTTTTGTTCAAAAGCAAACGCTTCCATTGACAGGGACTTCAAGAGAAAACAAAAAAATTCTCAGGCTTCCAAAATATTTACATATTGTAAGAGTATAGTTTCACTTTTATTTGTTGGATATAACAGTAACATAGTTTTGAGAGATGATTCCAATCACAGCATGCACTGCCGGACATAATTTTTCCTTTCTTTATGTGCACAAACACATAAAAAACTTCTTTACTTTATTCTTAAAAAAAAAAACAGGCTACCTCCATAGTTTTCAGTTCTATCTTGTGATCATAAGCAGATGGAGGTTTTGCAGTCATTTATATATAAGCAGTTATCACTTATTAGTATGGAGGTACAATAAAATTTCCACTAGGTGGACAAGACTGAAGTATTTCAAATGTTAATAATGAGCTTGTAACTGCAAATAGCATTGCTCCTGTCACCAAGTAATCTGTTGTATGCAAGGGTTCTTAATGTAAAAAATATAAAAACCTTGAAATTATTGATCATCTTACACCTAAACCCAAGTACATGTCCACACCACCTCCAATATTCAAAATTAGCTCCTCGTTAAAGATTGTGGCACCAAACATACAGTATCTGATAATGCTTAATAGCATTCATATGCGCAATTTATAATAGATTTCAACTGGGGTGACTGTGGTTCAGTGGGTAGAGCAGTTATCTCCCAAGCAGCAGGTTGAAGGTTTGCATCTCAGTGCCTGCAGTCCACGTGTTGAATTGTCCTTTGGCAAGACACTAAACCCCCAAGTTGCCCCTGATGGTTAGAGCCATTGGTTGAGTTGGTGCCACAAATGGCTGCCTCGGTTCTGTACACGAAAAAGATTCCTTGTGTGTGTGTAACATACTTGGCCAATAAAGGTGATTATTATTTCCTGCAATCTAACACAGAAACAGCTGCAGACAGCAAAAGTGTAGTTGCATAGAATGGCAGAATGATCAAAACACCCTACCAGTGCACAGCTTATAATGGATTTTATGAGAATACAAGAAAGAAGCACTGAAGTGAATTCATTCAGCTTCTCCAAAATAAAGCTAAACTCTGAATGTTGCATTAGTGGTTATGATACACACCATTCATTGATAACCTCCCTCTACATCTTATACCTTAACTCATGCTGCACCTCTCCACCACCTATCATTACAAGTGGGTTTACATTTACCTAACAAGGACTGTGCACAAGTTTTTGAGGCTTTTCATCATATGTTCTTTGACCACATAATAGCACTAGCCCTCTACTGAGAGTCCTTGCAGATTTCTTGATCTTTTCCCATCTCAGGTCTGCATCTCTGTTTGCATACGAGTATCATCTCTGTGGCAAGAGAAAATACATTAGCTCTAACATACAGATACATACATCTCATATTTCAAAACAAAATATTAAAAACTCAATTATTCAAAATCAAGGCACCGTCCATACCTGCTTAAAGTGTATATCATCTGCCCAGGATCATCTGAAAATACCCTGTAACATCAAAAGAATGGTTCCATGACATGAAGAAAAAAAAAAAAAGATGCCCACAAATCAATGACATGCATACATGCTACAACAATTCCATAATGGATACTGCCCAATAGGTCTTAAGTGTTTTCCCATCCATCAGTTCAGGACAGAGCTTGAGAATTCTTAAGGTCTATGTTTGGGACTTACTATGAATGAAATACTTCTTATGAAATTAGATGAAAATGTGATATACCTTGGGAAAATTCTGTGAAAGCAACAACAAATTATATTCAAGAAGGGGCAATGTGTCACATAACTAGAATGGATTAAAAAGCTGTGGGAACAGCTTGTTTGTTTTTTGGCCGATTATGAACAACCTATTATGAAATGTGAGCACATAAAATAGCCACAGAAACATCTCTTACCCATCTCCCCAATGGTAAAATACCCGGTCCTGGTAGAACATGGACAGAAACAGCCACACACCTATTGTCTCGACCCAGAAGATAACAAACAGGAACCATAGCGATGACAGCAAGACTTCACACAACATCCTGGAGCTCTGTGACCACAACATACACAGCAGAAACAAATGCCTTCTGGGATTAAATTCCAGAAATGTGATAACTTGAAAATGCAAACTTTAACTTTGAACAATATGAACGTTAAAACACTAACGATGGCTAATCGCAAGCTTTTACTTTTTTCTTTTCACTTTAAATATCAACGGTGATGCATTCTATAGTTCATAGTAGTTAATACCAAAAGCACCACCGCTAAATTTGCTTACCACTACAATATGTCATGCACATCTGTTGATCAATACAGGAAAATGTTTAGCATTAAAGAAATGATAATAGCTAGCTCATTAGCTTGGCAGTTCACAGCTAGCTGAAGTCGAGCTACGAATAACCAAATAACGTGTAGCGAGCTAAGCTAAACATTAGTTAGCGTTACTACATTTCGACTTTAACATTAATGATTAGCTAATTTTAAACGTAATTAATGCATCGTCTGTGTAGCAACTTTGAAGATAACAATAGCTAACGTTACAGAACAGGAAGAAACTGAAGTAACTCCGTAAAGATGTTTTGCAGCTAAGCTAACATTTAGCAAATATCCATATCGTTCACGGGTAAAATACAAAAGGTAAGAAACGACGAATATTAATTCGTGTTGCAAAACTATTTACCTACTCAAGTAAAAGCTCCTTGAGACACCATTCCTTTTCCAGAGTAGCTAGTCATTAACTTTCGTTTACGAGGCTCGTCACATATCACATGGCGTGTATTTGTATTTGCATTCTTCTTCTTCGGTTTTAATGGCAACACTGCCCGTATTTCCGCTTTGGGACCTCTTATAGTGTTGGGTGATTTATACCCCAAGCTATGAACCTCGGATCATCAGAGGTCCTGTGAGGCCTTTACTGAAACACCATGGAAGTACTATTAACATTATACTCTATATGCAAAAGTACTCTGTGTAGCAACTTAACGTTGCGCTTGTGAGGTACAATACGAAAAATAAAGTAAATAACACACAAGGTGAGTTATACTAAAATTACTTTATTACAGCTGATTTCTGTTCAATAACCCTCTGCTAACACAACCGTAAATATAATACAAACAAAATAGTAACGTCAATCCTATTTTAATTGTTTCATGAATCTTTTTACAGAATTTAAATTCACTTTTAGTACTTTACTATCTCTTATGTAGTATCTTCACAATCTCTCTGGCATTCAATAACAAGTTCCACCATCTATACATTTTAATACAGGTTATGAGTTGTAGTGGTAATGTGCCAAAAAAAAAAAAAAAAAAAAAAAAGAATACTGACATCTTCAAAGAAATGCAATCTCTCTTCATCATTTGCCTGTCACCACATCATCTTTTCAAGCCTTTTTTACTTTAGGTACTAGACCAGAACCAACTTGTTTACAGTTTTCATACCCGTCATGTCGTCAGCCCAGTGATAGGTAAAAGGATGGAGCTGAGGCAGTACAGCCTCATCTGGGCTTGGCCACTCAGGTATGGCACAGTGTTTGACCATACAAAGGATCACCATTTTCTCTTGCCAATTCTCATTCAGTTATCTTATATGCTCTCAGTCAGTAGGACAAAAAATTTGACAACAAAGTTTATAAAAAAAAAAGAAAAAAAAGATGTAAATTCAAAAAATATATAAAATCTAGGTTGGTGGAGAGGTCTTACAATGGACAATGATTGACAACAATATCCAGACTCCCTCACGCACAACACTGACAAAAACAAGAAAATCAAGTGTGCATACAAACTTAAGGTTGGCGTGTATGTGAGGTTTGATTGGCCCAACACTCAACTCTTGGCCTTGGCTTTTGGCTTAAGGTAAGATTCCAATAATTATAAATATATCCCCCTTTTCTTAACCAAATATCAAAAGAACTAGAAAAGAATTTATGCAAATAGCCTGTTGTGTTACAGTAGCTCGAACTTGGCATTTAAAACAACAACAAGGCTTTTGGGACCAAACTAAACTAAACCTTTCTAGGTATACACATATTTCATCACACAGATTTAAGAAAGAACCTCAGCATCTTGGTGCCCTCAAATGTGATAGGAATATATCACAGTATGACATTCAGAAAGAGCCAGTGTCTGTGGCTCTGAGAAAGGGAGAACGAACTCTGCAGTGTTGATGCTCAGAGATGGCCTGTTGATTAAACAAGTGGCATTTAAAGGGATTGACAGCAAAAGCATGCATGAGGCATTTTGTCTGTAGACAAAACCAAGAAGGACGAAACTCCAATGAGCTATGTCCTGACAGCTCAACGCCACTTAGAGGGTAAAAGGTTTTCTATTATCAGTGTGGGCTGTCAGTTAAAGCTAGTTTTAGAAATTCACTATTTACGTGTGTTTCGTTTTTAAATGTCTTTTTGTAATAAAACATACACATATGAACATGTAACTCCAGCTTTGTGATTTGGGCAGAATACTGTATATTAATGTTCTCTCTGGATCATTTCCTTAAAGGATTTTTGTGCTAAGTGTTTTTAGATTCTCAGTGAGGACATGGAACCTTGAACAGAAAGCACCAACATCTCCAGTGAAATTTTCAGCTATGAACCAGCAAGCAAGCAGAAATGCATTCAGGGAGAAACTGCTATAAAGGAAATACTAAGTGCTTTTTGCCACATTTATTTTGCATTTGGCCATTTTTATAGTGTGCACTGATTCAACTTAATATTTATAGGCACATGCTACAATGTCGTCATGTGAGGATGTGCTTGATTCAGTCACCCTTGTTCTTGGCTTCTAATCAGATGGTGAAATGCTGTTAACTCAGCACATTGTACATTTTTAGTGTTGTTTAACTGGGCCCCAATATTTTAACTGTGTTGTAGTTTACTTAGTACTGCCAAGCCTGCTGTCATGGTCACAACAATTATCTTAAGCTTCCTGCCTGCTCATAAACAACTCTTCAGTTAACCCAGTTCACTTTATCTTAGGTAAAGGTCTGCAGCATCCTCTCATCCACTCTTCACTCAAAATACACTGAGGAAATAACCAACAACACAACAGTTACAGTGGCAAAACGGGGGTGGGGGGGATTTCACTCACTCATTCTATGTTGCCATACACTAGGCTGGTTCATACGTGGGAAATTGCTCGTGGGAAAGGACACCCACACACGACAACAACGAACTCCTCAACTTAACTACGCACGTACCGACAACACTAATCCACCAGGTACTCTGTGAAAAGAAGTCAAATATTAATTTTATACATATTTATCTGTATAAAGTGCTTTGCTAAAGGCAGTAGTTTTAAAAGGCACTGAAAAAAAATTTCAACAGATCAATGCAAGGTTTCTGAAGGCAAACAAGCACGACATTCCCTGTAGTGCAGGGGTTTCACCCCTCGAGTACCACAACTCCAAGGACCTAAAACTATAGTTATTGATATGCACAAGGTATTTTATGTTTCTCACCATTTACAAGATTTAAATCAACTTCACACCATGCTGGCAAATATTATAATCTGAGAAAAGTAACTGGGACCTCTAACTAAAAACAGGTGTAAACAGACTGAACTAAACATACACTGGCACCGATGAGAAACTTGTGACATTTAAAATATTAAACTACAAATATCTAAGAGATTTTCTATAATCAAATGATAAAAGGCACTGCAGTAGTGTTTTAATAGAAGCCTGAAACATTTGGGGTTCATATATTTGGCTCTGAATGTGGCCGATGACCAGGAAAAAAAAAATCAAAAAAAAAATCAGGTGAAATAAAACAGCAGAATAAAACAAATCTCTAATTTATCACAATGACCATTACAGCAGGCTGGTATCACAACAGCAAAGCAAAAACATCTCAAGTCCGCTGCTTTTTTTAACCACCGTCAGAGAATCGGCCAGTGTAGAACTGAATACGAAGAAGAAATGTGGACTGGGTGTGGAGTAGGGGATCCTAAATAATGTTACTGTGATTAAAACCATATTTCTCAGGGACATAGTTAACACATGTCAAAGACTTTTGGACAGTGTTTCATGTGCAAAATGAGAGCAATGGCTGTGAACAGTACAACACATATATGGTAAAAAATTTAATAGGAGAGCTGTAAATAAAAAATTTGGATTATTATGTGTTGACACTCAATTTGCTTATGTAACAAATTTAAGGATTTGTATGTGTGCCGATAAACTGCCGTGAGGATGGGCTGCACCTCTTCCAGCCCTTTTGACCTGAGCAACATTTATTTCATCACACATCCACATCTGTACATGGGGGAAACTGAAGGCAAGTGTCACAGAGAGAGAGCGCAGCAGAGATCAGCAAATACTCTGTCCTGCTTTGTCTGCTGGATTCTACATCTCCAGGCTCAAACCCTGACTCCATGGCTGACCAGGGATCTATGTGTAGGAGAGGTGTGACCCGTTGGATATTTGAGAGGTGATACTGGAACTCCTGCTCATGCCCTGCTCACTGCGCCCTCCCGAAGGTGTCCTCCCCATTGCTTGGGGGCTATTCTGTACACCTCCACTGCTGCGAGAGACCAGGGCTACTGCTGATGGGTGGCCCCATGGTGATTGACCCCCACCTCCTTGCATACCCTGACCCCAGCTCTGATGCATAGGTGCTCCTCCTGGACTAGAATGATAGTGGTGTTGGCTGCCTTGGCGGCTTGACCCTGCACCTGAACTGCCACTGCCCCTGTATGACCCTTGGGAGCTCCTAGATGGGTGCTGCTGCAGATGGTGACTCCAGTTTCCTGGAGCCCCAGGAAAGCTATTGCTGAGGGCCTCTGGGGAGATGTTTGAGAGCACCATGTTGCTAAAGCCCAGGCGCATACTCTCTGAGTCAAAAGCCTCAACTTCTCGGGCCTGACGTTCGAGGAGACTCCGGATTCGTTCCAAGCGTTCATTCTGCAAGGACATCATCTCCTCCTCAATCTACAGAAAAAAAGGGTCAATAAAAATGTTAATATATTGTAAGTGCGTCACACAGAGCAGATACACTTAACTGCATTGTGTTCTACTAGAATCCATCAACAATGTTGAGCAAACAAAAACTATTGTGTAAAGCTACAAATATGAATTTTCAGGAAGCTCTTCCTGCTTTTGTGTGGACACAACCAAACATCAGACAGTGGTGCTATTTGCATGTTTGCATTACAAACTGTGACCTAAATGATGAAGATGTGATCCCCCCCCCCCCCCCCCCCAAACACCAGCATCCTCTGTAAATCTGTTAAGAAGACATACAGGTGTAAATAATAGAATTAAGGATGGCTGAAGTAAGAATGATCATATAAGTGACCTGGGATGCAGTCACTGTCATGACTTAATGGAGCACAGCCATCATTAATGCTATTAGTAACACTGTGCTGCTCCTCTACTGACAAGCCAAAATATCTGAATGCAAAAAGCTTATTCAGCTACTCTTAAAGGTCCAGCACACCCATGGGATGCATTTCACTCATTTCACCTAATTAGACCTCTTCAGGACTCAGTGGGTGTGTACAGACACAGATGTCAGCTGTGCTTGACATCTGCCTTATTCACCTGTTCATTTTGTTGCACCTACTAGGGCTAGACAAATTACAGCTATATCATTTTTTATTCATTCAAAGAGTAACCTGACCTAATGCAAATCCCAGCATGGCCTCACCCACCTTCAAACATGTCTAATAAACCAGAATGACTGGAAACCTGTTTGAGTGTGCTGGGCTTTTAAATTGAAAGTACCCCTAAAACTCCTCAAAAACCACAGAGTCAGTCCAACATAAGTCTCCACACGTGAATAATGTATAGAAGGCAACCTTCTGTTCCAACAGGCCCCTTCGGAGTGACACCCTTTGCTCCAGGTCCTTCTTCTCTCGGTCATGCTGTGATTCTGTCTGCATCTTGATCTTGCTCTGGTAGGCGTTGAGAAGCTCCAGCTCCTGCTGCAGTTGCATGCGTAGACCTTGGCACTGAGCCTCCTGAGTCTCATCCAGGCGGAGCTAAAGACAGAAAGATGATCAAGATCAGGTTCCAGGGAGTGAACACACACATAGCCATTATTGATCTGAACACATCCGTTAGAGCAGGGGTTTTCAAAGTGTGGGGAGATGAGCCTCCCCTCAGAGGACATTGTGAAAACATTGTCCAAACAAACTTGACTCCTTAATTATGTTTGGTCATTTACTGAAGAAGCAAACCACCATCTTACAAGTCAGTCATAATGTGGGCTAACTGAGCAGAAATCCACACAACACAGAGGAGGGCTCCCATCTCTTCTCCCCTCACACCAAATTGCCAAACAAGCAGTGCACAGATGATATTAACTAATCTGTCCTCTACCGCTATGCCCCAGTGATACACACAACATTAGTGGCTGTGTAACAAGTGTAATACCCAAATACCTTCTTGGCTTCTACACATTGAGAGGCCTATTTGTGCTGTTTTACTGAAGTCAAATAATTGTTGAACACAACAAACTGAGTTGCCACCAAACCAAATCATCACTGCGCACAATGCACAGCACTGCTTTTCATATTACTGTCTCCACATCATGCGTATTTCATATATCTGTCTTAGCTGTGTGTAACGCAATGCGATATGATGCTTTGGTTACCTTGGTATTCAGTGTTAAAAGTCCCAGTTAGATTGCTCTAGCTTCCTATCAACAAACTCCCATGTCTTGATCACCAGACTTGTTTACATGGTCTGATACTGTCATTAGCTAGTACCACTTTGCAAACAACACATTGTGGCAGTGGAGCACCATCAGGACCAGTCCATTAAAATCCAAACTGTAAATATTCATCATGTTTACTCCTTTTTCTGCTTGCCCCAGACTGTGTCCTCTCTCTCACTGAAGTGCTACAAATAGATTCATCTTGCCCCACACATAGCCTAAGTTATTTTTTCCTCACACTGCGCCTCCCCTGAAATCCTCTGGTGCCCCCCAGGGGAGGTGCACCTCACACTTTGAAAACCACTGCTTTAGATGTTACAAAGGTAATATGGATGGCTCCTTGATGGTATTAAGTCACAACCCTGATACTACATACACTGTCAGACTCACCGCCTGAGTGGAAAGCATCTCATTGATGGAGTGGTCATATTGTTCTGCCAAGATGGCGAGTTTGCGGTGCTGCTCCTGCTTCATCCGTTTAAGGACAGCCTTGTGCTCAGACTTCGGTGTGGTCTCCAGCAGATGGTTCCGCAGTGCTTTGTACTGCCTGGTCTGGATCTTACACGTGTCCTGAAACTGCTTCTTGATCTGTAGCTCTTTGGACTATGTTGTAGAGAAAAGTGATTCAATTTTATATTCCTTTTAATTTAAAGTCATATGAAATAATATGAAAATAGCAAAGGTTATTCCACTGTATAAATCTGGTGATAAGCACAACTTCACAAATTATAGACCGGTTTCTCTGTTGTCACAATTTTCAAAAATCTTGGAAAAACTCT